ATTAAGTATAATTCCTCAGAAGGAAGATTGGGCAATCTACTTCCATAGTGATACTGCCTCGGAAACCCAAGGAGGGGTCGCTATGAGTTGGGTCCGACTTGACAGCAAATAACAACAACAAAAGTATAATTCAAAGCATAGGTGCTTATAATTTACATTAGAGTATAATTTGTAATATTAATACTTTGCAAGAATACAAATATTTATAATACTAGTGATCATTCAATTTCTATTAGGAACTATAATTTAATTTCTAACATTGATACTTAAAATTAACATCAGTAAACATAACTTGTAGTATTGGTGATAATTTATTATATTAGTGATAATATTTGATGATAACAGTAACCAATGATTCAATTTCTATTTGTAAACATAATTTATAACATTGCTACTGATAATTTTATTGGGAATCCTAATTTGAAAGATTGGTAACATTTTGATCAGGAGCAATATTTGATAATGTTGGCAATAATTATTCAATTTCTGTATGTAATTCTATAGCTTGATTCATTATATTAGTACTGTTAATTTAATACTGGTGAGAATAGGTAATAAGAGTAACATGCTCAGATAAATATTGGTATCAGTGATTAATTCACACTTGTAACCGTGAGTAAAATCATGGTATTGATAAACCTTATCACAAAGCAGTGTCACACCTCCACATGCATGCATCAGCTACATTCTCTGATATCACATCATTTATAAAACACCCGTTGGTAACATCACTGCAGTAGTTGCAACATTTTTCCCTCCTGCCCAGTCTACTTCCCACAGACTCACCATTTCTTTATGATTGGGGTAGAAGGTCTGATCAATTAGGGGGAATTCTTCTGTCCCCAGTTTCTTGTGCAGTCGAACCATCTGGGCAAACTATGAGAGCCAGGAGAAATGGATCAGCAAGCCCTTCATCTGGAGGGAGTCTCCAAGCTGGGAATTCCAGTTTCTAAACTTCCTCAGTTCTCAAAAATCAGAGTTGTTTTAGGCTCCCACATGCATACATGAACTATTCCCTCTGCCAGTAGCACCTTCCCCATCACTTACCACCCAGGGCTTGTCACAGAAGTTGTAGACAGAATGTAAAGAGTTAAC